TAGCTTGACGGTAATGTTGTTATTTCATTCGAAGAAGAAAGTAACGGATTTGAAAATCTCACAAGACGACGTGAAATAAGGTTAAACTATTTTCTACCTGAAATTGGCATCAAAATGTTTGTTCGAACACGTTAATCAATGATACAGTGGCATTACTGCTTGCTTAAATGTTGCAGTAGACCCCAAAAGGCAAGGAACCAATATCGTATAGGCGTGCATATCAATATTACTACGCATATTCGCTGGAGAGGACAATCGAGCACATTTTCATGCATCTTCCTGTTGAAAGTTTCTTATGAGCAAGTGCATGACTCACTATGTAACAAATAAACAAAATGACTGTGAAGAATATGCGGATGAAAATAAATCAGTCCCTCCCAAAAGGTTAGGGAACAAATTTTTCGAATGAATCAGGTTTATTTTGCGAGGCAGTGAATTTGACCGAATATTTCTTGACATGGACGAGTACACCATCGCTTCAAAGTGCATTAAAGGTAATTCTGAGATACACTGCAGGTACGTAAAACAATGTAACATTTCAAGTTATATGACGGAAGCATTCAAAGAAATTAATTATAGATTTCTGACCAACAGTCGAAGGTCAAAGTCTGAAACAGTGTGGCAGGAGGGCGACAATTGCATCTCATTACCTACAGTCCATCAACTGTTTCGCCGCCGCACGACAGATGACGAATAAAACTAACCTCAAGTTTGGTGCGGCGCATAAAACACGTTAGAATCGCAGATGTAGCTGACTGACAGTCGAAAGAAATGGCCAAACGAGAACAGAAGAAAACGGAACAGACGTCCGTCCCTGTCGCCGTTGAGGCAGTACTTCTGAGGTGGCTGGCGAGTGACGACGGTCATGATAAAAGTCCAAGGCTGTCTGTCTGTAAGTGACTGGTGGCAGCGACGGAGCCATCGTCGAAGTCGCAGCCAAGTTTCTAACTAACACAGTCAGTCAGTCAGTCAGTCAGGCAGCCAGCCGACCGACCGACCGGCCGGCAATCTTCGCCCTCGTTACGACCGAAGGCCAAACAGCTCTGTTTTCAGCCCTCGTTCGTCAATGGCTCACATTGCAGAAAAAACACTAAATCAGTGAGGCGCCATTAAACAACCAGCCAACAGCTACTACCTGGCACCCAATCAATATTGCCGAAATGCCGTTTGTTTCTTCGACGATGCACTTATTTCACTTGTCAATATGCCGCCGCCAAGCGCCTTCGATGTATGCCTCATACGCTGATTTCCACTTTTTCACTTTGGCGCAAGTTCATCTCGTTCATTTCTATCTACAGCGCAAATTAGCTGTTTGTTCCCCCAATTCTCACAGTTCAGAGATGCACAAGCATTGCCCCGCGTATTTTCCTTGCCTTTTCTTTCACAAGAATAGCACGGAATTTTGAATTTATGATTCTGCAAAAAGATACATGAAAAATTGCTTATCACATGCCAAGACAAATAGACAGATCACAATGCATATCCGGTTTTGCTCGGGAAAACGTAATCTAAAAACTAAGCATTTTTGCTTTATTCTCTTACAATTCGTAGTCAGATACAAGTTATTTCCAACAAAAAGTAAGTCCAATAACGAAAGACCCCACCAAGAACACAGTTCCTCATAACAGTGAGAAAATTGCGCATTGAAAAATTCATGGTCCAATAGTTAGTTAAGCCTGCGTCAACAGAAGGCAAACCAGTCAAAGTAACTTCAAAACATAAATAAGAGCAACTAAAAAGCGATTCAATCTCCAGTTTGCGGCGCAAATTTTGCCGAAGAAAGAATTCGTTTTGAATTCAAACTTAAAACTCAAACATCGGACACTTCATTTTTTAAAGGAATCCCGTTAACTCGTACATCACCTTTTGTATTAACCAGTAAACAACCTTACAGTGCTCTGCCGAAGTCTACATCCGGTGTATAGCGAAAGATCTACAATGATAATTAAACACACAATACAACTCAATCCAAAAAACGAATCTTTACGAACGAAATTAAATTGTGCAAAAAACAGAACAGAAACTACCTCAATAGAAAACCAGCTTCTGCAAGTTTTGATATTCGCTTCGTAAATCATAGCATAACTGAAAATAAATGTCATTAAACAAATCTTACCCCTGTGACAGGATCAGCAAAATCCATTGTTGCAATAATCAAACTTGTACAGTAACTTGCGCACTACAGATGGAACCGAATCGGCGATTTTCAAATTACATTTAACCTGTGGATCACCGTAAGATTGTTTGCTATAGGAATGTGTTGTTTAGCAATAACGAACAGACCTCAAATTCAAATTTTACTCATCTATGGGAACGAAGGGAATTTCTGAATGAGCAGCGAGACTGAAACAAAAATTTTACTTAGTAAGTTGTCAAAATTATCAAAGTCATGTATTTCTGTAAAAAATATTCTCACTAGCCAGAAGATTTCACAGCGTAGTTTGCACCACCCATTTGTTCGCTGTTGCCTGAGGTTTATTCAGAACATTGCTCAGTCGTACTTTATTACGTCCCAGTTGTATATTGCATCATTGTATTGCTAAAGTCAACTCGCACATTTTACGAGTGATTCTGCGTATGCTTCCATTTAAATATCACTTGGCATTGCAGGACTCGATACAGTTGAGTCTGCTTAAAAGCCGCATTGTACTACCATCATATATTTCCTCTAATTGTGTATTCGCTTAGGATTTCGACTCATTTGGCAGATAAACTTCTTATTTCTGATTTTAAATTCGTAGTAATGGGAAAATTGTGTTTTAATCACAACGTTTAATTGACAATTAAAGATAGCGTTCGTTGCTAAAGAAAAAACTTCCTAAAGTAAAATTCCTACATGACTTTCCTGATACCGAAGTGTCTCAGAGAGATCTTGGCAATGTAAGAAATCAACTGCATAAAACTCTGTGTTTATTCAGCCATGCTTTTCATGCTTTTGCAGTATCCGTGTAGTTGTAATGCGTCGACGTGTTGTAAACTTAATTTGGAGTTCAAATATATTTCAGAACATGACTTAAAAAGTTTTGACTATTGCAAAAATCGACTTCTTCTTAAGTAATTATGCCTCTTGGGCAAGTAAAGGAATGGGTAAAGAAGATCGTGTTCCTTGGTGAACGTTCGGAGTACCATCCAAGTTTCAAGGCGAAGCTTGCCACTCTAGAAAACGTGTGTGTGGCCGTACGATCACTTATAAAGGGGGTCAAAGCTGTGGCACAGCCAATACGGCGATGGAGGTCAAAACCGTTGATGATGCCAACCGTGGACGAGGACGAACACACACAGTTCAGCAAGGCACTGACTGTACTAATGTGCCTCCTATCAAAAGAAGAAATCAAGAACTATGTCGACAAGATCATCAAGGCTCAAGACCAGATCGAGGAAGCTCAGCGGCAGTTTTTAGAAAAAGTTAGATCTGATACGTAAGTTCTTACGCATTTCTTGCACTCTTCAAGGTTATGTGTACCTTCCAATTTGATTTCATTAAATAGAAAATTGACATTTAATAAATCAGTGCTACACAACATTTGGAGTTTAAGAGGGGAGTTTCGGAATATCTTTTTCATATATGCATGCCATTTGCAAATGTGAAGGATCAGTATATGACTTTCATCATTGATTCTTCAACGACAGACCAATTCTGGGATCAGATGAAGACATCTTCGTCGTTTCAAGGCAGAGAACTGTTTATGCGAATGTTGCTCGCTAGCAGACAACAGGCAGCCGCTATGGACAGAACAAATGAGTCATCATCACCCATTAATCAAGCAATTTCCTGTGCCTTAACTTTCTAGCGTCATACATCAGCATACAGAAGAGTTATTGCAAAACTGTTGTTTAAACAAGGATTTTACAATCAGTCATTTTTATTGCATAGGATCTTTGACAGCGTGCTTCTGAATGAAGTCTCATAGATTGGCTCCGCTGCTAAAATTCGTGAATGAAGAAGCAGTCACCATCCGCAAGGAGAAGGCAAAACTGGACAGGTTATTGGCTGACTACGAAGCGGCTGCCGACGATGTTAAAGCCTGCACTGACCAACTGAAGGTACCTACTTTGACGGCGCGAACCGAAAAATTTAGGGAGGACGTCGAAAACCAGGCCCAGATCGTTGCCACTCTTTTCGAAAACCTTCCGAAGTACATGAAACAGCAGGCAGCGGCATTACGATCTTTCACTTTGAACCGTAAGAAATTACATAGGGCAGTTACTGATGCATTGAGCTTTGCGTGACAAAGCCGACAGGTTAACGGAGCTTGCAGCTCTTCAAGTTAAATTCGTTGGTTAGATGTATTTATTGATTGACATCAATTTTATTTGTAGGCAATATCGCTGCCAAATTTTATCAGCCGTTTTAATGAAGTACATGACTACGATAAAAAGCAAATGTTGCCTCTTGATGACTTGCGTTAGTTATTTATATAGATTTCGATGAAATTCAAAGGTGAACTTGACAGAGTTAACGCAAAAAGTTACTTTTAAAGTATATTGTTCATAACAGAAATTAACTATAGTTTGTCCAACAGTGTCATAGAAGATGTCGTTGTGTCATGTTTTGAGGACAGGCGGCATGACTCGCCACTATTCTTCCAGTACTAAATTCATAAAGCCATCAGAAACTTTTCTTTTTAAAATAATGAGTAACGACGAAGCAAAGTGTTCTGATTTTTAAATTTATTTCAACTTTAAATCTACGTTCGCAATCCTGTGCTCATTGTTAGACAGAGAGCAGATGGATCAAGGTATATTTCAGTCGAAAAGTGCACGCATCAGATATCATGGCCATATATCTCGTACGCTTTGACATAATAACGTCAAGGTGTCGTGCTTTTCCTGTTATTCACAGGTCAGCGACCTGCTACACATTTTTCGGCAAGTTGCACCGAAGCGTAATGGGTTGATTTTGTAGTTAATTAGAAAAAATTCACCTGCTTGTTAGGTTTGAACCCAGGATTTTAACATGATAAGCAGTCCACCACTTATTAAATCGAATAACTCGATGCAAATAGGATGGACCATTTTGTACCATTATTACGCATTGCCTCCGCAAAGGAGCTCATTTAACACAACGGGCTGATTCCTAGGATATGATGTTTTCCCACAAGAAACAGCACCGGGAAGCAGCGCGTGATAAAGTGGGCTAACTGTAGCACGCATCGCAGGCAGCAATGCATGCAGTTCAAATTTTAGTATAGAATTTCAGCGAATGATGCTAGCGTCACCTAATAATAATATGCAGCATATTTCAGGGGAATTTTGTTGAAAACAACGACACGCTGCAGTTAAATAAAATTAGCTATTTTCAGGCTTAACTACATTTTGAAACGATTCATCAACTTGTCACTTAATTTTCGAAAGCATTTCTTTTTACTGGAAAGCATGATTCTTTGACGATATTGTACCAGCGATGATCATTAAATTGAAATGTTACTTTATTGAAATATTTTGATAGTTCATGCTCTCCCAAACAATTAACAAACTAATTAATTAATTAATTAAAAGGTTATGCGACCATTTAACGATTCTCCAGATTGTAATCATATGTCATACTTCTCTACAAGAAGACTCGCTGTGTTGTTGTACTGGCGTTCTGATAACGCGTATTGCTGCAAAGCTGATCGAATGATCTCCTCGTAGTCTTCGTATTTCTCAAGCAGGTCTCTAACGATGTTGTACTGCTTCACGAATGCGTTCTTCATAGATTGCAAATTTGATTTGAGTTGTTTGCCAGCTTTCTGTCCGGCTGCGATGAGCCTTCTTCGAGCATCGTCGTAGTCATCTCGACGTTTATCCAGTAATTTCTTCGCATTTCGAACTGTCTCGATTTCGTTTGTTAGAAATTTAGACAACGGAATTATGCTGAAAACAGTGATAAAGGTAAAGCAGCCAAATGAACAATATTCGTACAAGGTAAGGAATAAATTATTCAAATCTTAATTATTTTTTCGCGCATTTTAAAGCCAACTAACTCTATTTCAATTATAGTTGAATGTCTGGTTTTTACACATTGCATAAAAAACAAAAAATATCTGTTGGTCAAGGATTATGAAGCATATTTAGAAAGAGAAAAATGTAGGAAAAGCCTATTCTTTATTTTCGGAAGGCAATTTTAGGCGAAGAAGATTCGCCACGGAATTACACCCGTTAATGAATTTAAAGTGGAGTAAAATTTAAAAGCGCGCATAATTTGTTTATGCGAGAAATGACAAAATTTTTTGGTAAGTCATAAACGGGAAGATAACGCATTAAAAGTTCTTTAATCACGGACATCTGACGTTTCGGACCAAGTTAGGTCCGTCTTCTGTGTACCATTGTACTTACCAAAAGATTATGGAGCAAAATTGCGACATTTCGGATTGCATTCGATCTGCCTTTGAAAAATAAAATAAACACACAATTCTCACTGGGAGTATTATTATATACAATAGTAGAAACCTTTTTATATTTTTCCATTACGAGCTGCGGAAGTTTCGCTTTCTTTCGCCATTTGCCTCTTCCGGTGTTCCTTGGCTGAAGTAAAACGCAATTACGG